TATTTTTTTCCTTAAATGCCATTCAATAAGCATTCTTTTGTGATTTACTACTGTCTTTAATTTGTAATTTTGTACATTTAATAATTGGGGAAATTTTCATACGAGTCATTTATAAATATTTAATTCTAAGTAATAAAGTCTAATAATAAAGTCTAAAATATATATTCTTAGGAAATATTGTTAACTTTTGAATTATAGCCTGGTAATGCTACAAAAGTTCTTTAAGATAAAACTATTTTCACTTTTAATTGATACTGTAATGAAGTTTAAAGAAATATCGCCATTTTTGAACGAACAACCAACTTTATTAGTCAAAACTTACAGAATAACTGAAAAACATTTTTAAGCGCGCGCATCGTCCGCAGATATTCTTTGCGGATAATCACGGGGAACTCTTCGAAGAAACGTTTTTTTTCTTTCACAATGATGGAACTTTCTGGAAATATTTTCAGTTTAAATACATTATTATTATTATTTTTACAAGAGAAGGATGTTCAAGCATATCTGTAACAAATACAAGTAGATACTTGACCAAATGAGCACAAGTGCTTTCAAAGAATCATTTTAAATAAACATATAAAATGTAATATTCTAATATTACAAAAATTTAAACAATGAAGTTTTAAACTTCCTAGAATGTATATTTTTAGTTGTGAGATGTTTGGATACAACGACTTAAACTGTCAACATTTTGATGGTGCTTCCTCTTTTTATGTGCAACTTCATAATTAAAAGGTTGTAAGATCAAAGCCCATCGTAATAGTCTAGGATTAGTCTCAGTGTTTTTATCCACTCATGCTAGAGGATTCTGATCAGTCTGAATAATGATCTTATGAGGTCTATCTAGGTAGAATTTTAACTTTTATACTGCAAAGACAGTGGCATCACAATCCCTTTCGATTGTACTGTACTTCTGTTCAGTAGGTGAAAACTTTTTGCTAAAATATTATTGGATGTTCTTCGCCTTTAACATTTATCTGCAATAATACAACGCCAATACCAATATTCGAAGCGTAGCACTGAATCATAAATGGTTGAGAAAAGTTCGGACTGTATAAGACTGTATTTTGTGTTAACCATTTCTTGAGTTCATCAAAAGCGTTTTGGCAGTCATCAGTCCAATATATGGTTGATTTGCAACATTTTCCTTTTGACAAATCTGTCAGTGGTGCAGAAATCACAGAAAATTCAGAAATATACCTTCAGTAATACCCCACAAGTCCTAGAAATGACCGAACTGTGTTTTCGTGGTAGGTTTAGGGAAGTCCTTTATGGCTTGAATTTTTATTTCTGCTGGTCTTCTTTGACCTTGTCCTACTACATGACCTAGATATTTGACGGTCGTATGAGCAAACTGACATTTCGAAGGTTTAACATGCAGTTTAGCAATTTTCATCTTCTCCAAAATAATTTCTTTTTCAAATGTTCTTCCCAGGTTTGCGAGAAATACTGTAACATCGTCAATAGAGGGTACAGCAAATTCTTCACAGTTTCTTAATAATCCTGCCATCAAGCGGCTAAAATCATATAGCGCATTTTTTAGCCCGTAAAGTAACCTTAAGGGCTTAAATGTTCCAAAACTTGTCACAAAAGCAACGTAACGCTGGGCTCGTTTAGTTAGTGGGATCTGCCAGTAACCTCGAGTAAGATCTAGAACACTTATATATCTGGCAGATGACACTTTTGCCACTAAATATTCAATGTTTGGCAAGGGAAAATATTGTTGCCTTATTCAAGCGACGGTAATCAATGCATGGTCTTGTCTCTGTTCCAGGAACTTCAACCAGTATGAGTGGAGAAGTAAATTCCGATTCATTTGGTTCTACTGAGTTTATCATCTTGTTTTATGTCATTACTTGTTAGTTTTATGTCAGAAGTGTTGGCTTATGTAAACCGAAGTGAAAGGCTATTTTCACCCTTCTTATGACTTTTGTCTGCCTACTGTTAAAGACCTGATAATTCCTCTACAGTCTTCCTAGAGCTCGTGAGTTTATGTTACCAAAGCGTATAAATTCATTGGATGTTTTTAATTATATGGTTTAAACTAATTATAATTAATATAATTTTGCTCGGAGGAGTGTAATCATTTTTTATTTTTGCGCCGGTAATTATACCAACCAACTATTCCCTTTACAAAGTTAGTCGATTTAATACCGTATTTATTTTCACAATTGTAGCCACCATAGCACTTGGCATACGGTTTCCCGAATATATATATACCACCTTCATACATTTCAACAATCTCTTTTTTCATCTCCATGGTGATTCTAACAATTTTCTCAGTTGCTTAACACTTTTCATTAACTTTCTTAAAACTCATAGCTATTGAATTTACAAAAAACTTGGGCAAAAAAATAAAAAACAAAGCACTTGAATCTTTAGTTATAAACCGGTTTATTTATTGAATAATAGCAACAGGCGTACAGCCATGGGCAATCGTAACATTGTTAAACAAGCCTAGTACAACCAGTCGTGGCTCATGGAACTTGAGTAGTATTCCAAACAAAATTTTGCAAACACGGCATATATAAAAGTGGACGTATGCCAAAGAATTGCTGTATCTTCATTTTGATGATGTTTGATGAAACAAATTGAAACTTTATTGGTGTACTGATGTTTTTTAAATAAAAGACAACTCCCTTGGAATAATGGCTGGTTTAGAAGCATTGCCGTTATATCATGTGGTTAGTTTTACAGCGAATTTTTCTCAAGGCTCTATCCGAAAATGAATAGGAACAAACATAATATTGAAAGATAACTCGTAGTGGCATTTATTAAGATAAAATACAAAATAAGATTTTTCTAGATGAGTTTCTCTCTACTTCCTGATGAAATCAATTATACTTACAAAATGTGTATGCCAGATGTTTTGCTCAAATTTCGGGATCTTTTAGCATAATATTTTAAGTAGATATCATCTTTAATTCGAAGATATTTTCATATCTTCAGTGTTTGATCAGATTAGAAATGTCGGGCTTTATGACGAACTTTCGTTTAGCATTTTTTAAAAATGCTTGCGTCTTTTTCGGACTCCTTTTCCAGAATGATTGATTTTATAATGATTAATTTTGTAAGTTTAAACATAGCGCGAGAGAAGAAAACATCTTTAAGCACAGTTATTTTGCTTCTTTTGACCTTATAATACAGAGGTTATCCCTCATTTTTTAGACGATTTTGCTTTGCGATAAGAAACGATCGGCTGCTTAGAAAATGTTTTTAACTGCAACTATGTTTTTCAAACTATAAATTATCGTCTGCTACCTCGAAATTTTGTTTTCATACAAAATGGTGCTTTTAAAGAAGCAATAGATAAAAGCCTATGCTTGTACTCTTTCCGAAGAAATCTATTCCTATCTAGTTATTAAAAAACACTGTAAAAGCCCTTTTTTATATCTCAAGCTACGATGGTTAATATTGTCAACAAGAAAGGAAAAAAAAACGTCAAAGTTTGGCTTCAGATGGAAAAATTGTTCCAAATGCATATCCAAGGAAAAAACGGAATGTTTCCAATGTTGAAATACTAAGATCTCTAATGTTAAAAGAAAAGCCACCAAATCAAACGACACTAGAAAAACCATTAAAATGCTCAGTGGCAACTATATACGAATGATTAATGGTGATTTGAATCTTAAAAAGTCGAAAAGGCGTAATGTGCATCGTCTTTCTCCACAACATATCGAAGAATGCAGAACGCTCTGCCGAATTTTTTATGACAAACATTTATCCGGACAAAAATGGAAAAATGTTATCACAATAGATGAATCTTGGCTCTCAATAAAAAGAGATCCATTTATTATAACAAAGAGACGAAAAAAATCTTAGAACATGACTCAAAGAATCTAAAGAAAGTTTTTCAAATGGATTTATGACTGTTGCTGGTTTTTGATATAACGACAAATAAAAATTAAAAAGGGTGCAGAAAACTCTTAAGGTCCACATATTATCAGGAACATATTTTATACCCAGTTTTTAAATAAGAAACAGTGCCATTAGTCTTTACCCACAGTGCCATTAGTCTGAAGAACTGCATCAAAACAAAGCATGCAGCCACACGTCAAAATCCACTGTTAATTTCCTGAAAAAAGGCAGAACAAGAAACGGGTGTCAAAGCCATATCCTTCACTTGGATGTATCACCCACGGACCTTTGCGCTTTTGGTCTTGTCGGACTGTCCAAACGTCGACCCACAACCCTCTTTGGACTTTAAAAAGCTGTTCAAGAGAAATGATTTTTCTGATACTACAAAAAGCTTTATTGTTTTGGAAATTACAGTGCAGAAAGATAGTGAATAATAAGGGTTACCAAACAGAACATTTAAAATACAAAAAAATTAGGTAAAATATTTCCATAAATACAATGGAAATCGTTTAAAAATGTGTGAACAAGCTGTGTAAGATTATTCTACTTTAATAGCTTAAATATAGCTTTTGCTTTCGTTATAGGAGATGCCATTTCATAAACGGTTCTCGCATTCTGAAACTCCTATTCTTATTCTAAAGGGAATAAATAATTCTTAGCATGGCAATGACAAACTTTTACAAATTTATTACCTCATATATAACGATTACTCATACTTTTGCACATTACCTACATTTAGCCCAATTTTGCAGGCATCTTCTTTATTAAAGAAGAAGGTAAAAAACAGACTTGCCATTTTGCACTTTCAATAAAGCTGACCCGAGGGTGATAGTTTATGGCCTGCTAAATACTGGAACAGGAATTCAGTAGAAGTTCGGAGCTGAACTATAAATTATCTAACTTCATAGATTATGGCTTTTATTAAAAACGAAAAATAACTCAGATTCTAAGCACAAATACGCTATTATTTAGGTAACTTACTTACAAAATTTTTAAAAGATAATAATTAATTCACATTTGTTTGGATATCATTGAATGTATATAAAATAATCAAAAAGTGATTATATTTTATGAACTTTAAATACATATTCTGCAATAAAACCTTTTTTAAGGACGCGCAAAAAGAAATAAAGAATACTTTCAAAAGCATTTAAACAGTTTTATTCCCAGAGTTAAAATAAATAAATGGCAGTATAAAAGATAATGACAATCTAAGTGATTTCATTATCAAAAATTGTTAAATTGAAGCTCACATCATTTTGAATATGGTTATAAAATTATTCTGTGAGAATATTTTGTTAATATGATTTCATGTTCAATACTTTTTGAACAAAATGTAAATCTCTTTATTTTAAAATGACTGAAAACTTTTAGACGTTGACAGGAAACAAAATTTACACGTCTTCAGTATCAAATTTAACCAAACGTTTGCACCCTGTGTTTACGCATCACTTTTTGCGATTCAATAAAAATATCCATCCTTTTTCTATCATTTTATGCAAAAAGGGGAAACAATGTTTTTTACATGCACTTAAAATATGGCGGTACGCTGCCTTTTATACACACAACAATTAAGCATGGTAGGAAATAAACTTCTGAGCAAATAATTATCAAACTGAATTAAAACATCATGTTTAATTATTACTTAGTGAAAATTATGCAAAAGTTATATTCATAACAGTGAACCAAATTTTCTTTTATGTGAAGTTTGAACCAGTTATCTATATACTCTAAATATTATTACTATATTCAACTTTAAAGTAAACAAATTTCGTTCATTCGTTTAGTTGAACAAAAAATAGTGTTACAGAATTTCAGAATAAACAATCATAGTATATATTTTGTTCAGTATATACATAAACAAGGTTTGATAGTGAAAATAAAATGTGTTGATCTCATCGAATTTCAATGAACATTATTCTTCAAGAAGCCATATAAACGAATCCTCACTGAAATTCATTTAAAATGCAATCTGTTCAAAAAATACAATCTCAGTGGTATGAAGGTGCAATGATTCTCCTACCTGATGTCAAGTTTCCATGAAAAAGAAATCTGAAAATAAGATTTCAGTTCTAATTTACAAAAATTTTTAAATATACAAAGATTTGTACAGCTCACAATATTTTGGCTAGTAAAGCACTCGTAAATGAAGCTAAAATTAACAAATATATAGATAAAATTGTCTGAATCCCAGCAGCTCCGCCACCAGTACAGCGTTCGAAGTATTGTGTACATGCGTTTTCTGACAAGCTTCCGCCCAGTCTTGATGCAATTTCTTCAATGACTTCAGACGTCCCTTCCCGGCAACCATCTTGTGTCTCCATCAACATTTTTAAACAACGCCTGTAGCCGTCAAAGGAGCTGCAGGATATTAAAATTATACAGAATACTACATTACGGAATTTTACAAATTTTCATAACAGCATAACAAACTGAGGAAAATCTTTATCAATTTAGAATTTTTCCAATTATAGAAATAGTTAACCATTGATAAAGAAAAAATGTAAGAAATTAATAAAAAGAAAACGTTTTCAAATAAATGGCATTTAATTGTCCGTTCACTTAATCTAAAATGAAAAGAGGCTAAACTTCATTATTTACATGTTGATTCGATCATATCAGAAATATTACAGTTATGCAGGGTGAAGTAGAAAACCATGAAGGTTTCTGAACCATGAAAGTGAAATGACACAGAAGAATTCATTTATATTCATGTTGTTTAATGTACAGATAAACAAGTTTTATGTTACAATTTAATGTACACCATTATTAAGGAATGACATCCATATTAAATTCCAAAAATGGAATCTTGCAAATGTCATCCTCATCGGTCCACACATTGTTGAAATCATTCATAACTTCGAATAGCGTTTTGCAACATTTCTCTCAGTATGGCGACTACCTCACGTTGACAGCCTTTAGTTCTGATAAGAAACGTAATTTATTCACGTACACTCTTTCTTTTAATTATGCGCCTTGTGATATCTCTATGTCGGAAAATTAAACGCTTCAGGAATCTTCAACAATTCTATCGAATCTCGAACCATGTGGGCAATTGCCTCAGTCTTGCTGAAACAATCTCAGAAGACTATATACTATAGATGGGGATAATCTTTTCTGAGGATGCACCGCCAACCAAATATCATCTTCGTCCTGGAATGTTTTTCAAGCAGAGGCTTCCCAGTCCTCGTCTCCAGTGACAATGAAATGAAATCTGCCACTGAACATCTGCCTCAGAAGCAGAACTAAAAGCTTCTGACGCTGATGTTCAGAGGCATTTTTCACCTAGCTCTCGGTAAAGAAGCTCTTAAGATATAAAAGATATAACATATTATATATAAAATTTATTTCCATCTAAAATACAAATCTTTTGATTTTCACAATAGATTGACTGATCTTTTGCCCTTTTAATATGGATCTATCTTTAAATTTACTAAGCAAACAACTTGTATTCACGTACAAAACGGAAAATTTGGAAACTTTTACGTAGTTTTCTGCTGATATAGCTGACACAACCTGGAGAATCTTTTCTTGTTTACATCAGTAAATTAGTAAATAAAAAAAACAGTCTGTATACTGAGTGATTTTAAAATAACTGATTAAAATGTAAATAGAAGTACACAGAACAAAACAAAGCAATTACATTTCGAAGTGAAATGTGTGCGCAGAAACGGCGCGCGTAAATGCTAGCAAGTAAGGAAAATATGAAAATCAACTCTCTTGACTTTATATCTCTTTCCTAGAGATATAAAGTCAAAAGAAGCAAGCATTTGAATGATTCAACTTTCTGCAATAATTTCTCAAAAACGCATCCTCCAACAGAAATGTAAAGTTCACAGTGGTGCAGCATGGATTGGCGTACATTAACAAATAACTCGGGTATTTCATACACATTTCTAGCATCAACTTATAATCTAGATACAATATCTTCATCATAGAGCTTTTTTAAATTATGGCAGTTTTATTAATGTGTCCCTATCTAATGTGTCCCTATCTATAAAAATCTATGCATTTTGAATTTGGTGATTATTGGCGAAAGAAATAGTTCACCGCACCCATTCCAATAGGAGTAGCAGGTAGCGTCAAAGTAATATCTGACACAACTGTTGAAGTGGGCTGGCTCCAGAAATTTATAATCTTCTGGACTTTGAAAAATTCGTAACTAGATTGTACCATAAAGGCAGTCCTCAACTTACGATGCTCAGAATTACAAGGGCCAAAAACTAAATTCTTTTAAATTTAATTTACATCCAGTATATGCATATACGTAAGTCAGCTAGAAGTTAAATTGCCACTGCCCCTACTAAATATGCAATGGGATCTTTGCCGATACTGTTTATGTTTCATTAATTGCTTGTTGAAGTAAGTAGCAGAATACTCTGAAGATATAAAATACCTACAAATCACACAATTTTGGGAAAAAATGTGAAATCTATGAGTCCAGAACATTGAAACTACAAAAAACGTTTCAGAGCAATGCATGCTATTAATTTGTACAAAGTTGTTGCCGCGGGAAACAATTGAATAGCACAATGAGCATGTAATCACGGAACAAGCTGACGAAAATGCAATGGAATAGCACTTACAGACATTAATTTCGGTAATTAGAAGAGTAAGTGGACAACGATGAAATAGAACTGATTGACGACGATTTTATAGATTTCCAAAATGAAAACATTCTCGAAGACGGGAATAACATGGATGATGAAAGAACTTCAGTTACTCAAAAAAATGGATCAAACCATTGACCATTTTGAAAGAATTTTTGGAAATTCGAGAACAATCGGATATAACCGCAAAATGTATGATTAAAAGTCAAATATACAACATTAACGAATTTTCGGATTAAAGGAACTACTCTCCTTTGTAGTGAATCATCCAAATGAGTAAAAGGTTTTCACCTATTATGTTAAATCAAAGACATCTGATTTGATTTATGCTAACTAAATTAAAAGAAAAGTAAGTTCTAATTTTATAAAATAAGTATGAATGTGTGCATACATGTACGTATACAAATAAACTGATTTCGAAAACAAGAAAGTTTCCGACTCACGTCAGAATCGATTTCAGACGGATGGGACGGAACTCGTCGTAATTTGTATCTGTATGGTAAACCGTACCACACTATATACTTGTGCAGTACTACCAGTATTGTAAAAAAAACATCAAATAAAACTTCAGGAGAAACTTCAAAAAAGAATGTAAAATAAATTTGGTAATTTAAAGTAATTTTTACATTGTTGACAATTTTTAGACTGATTCAGCTCAAGGTAATTCAAAATGCGCCAGAACATTCCATCAAACTGCATAATCTAAATCCACTTAAGGACAATTACAATTGGAAAGACAATGTTGATAAACAAAGAAACACGTAACAGTACTTTTTTCATGCTATACGTATGGTTATTTCTTCCTTGCTAATTACTTAAAAATTTTAATGAGATATTTTTTAATTAAAATTTTAATTGAATAATGTATTTAAATGATTTTCAGCTTTTAATTCATTATACACTTCAAGCTGAACTAATTTTCACACAAATGTAGTAAAGTCAAACTTACCAACACTGAAGATGTGTCTTGTCCTCATATTCAACAAGCAATATGTCTCGCTGGTTCCGATCATATTTTTCTTTGCAATACTGTAAGCCATCTGATATATTCCTCAAGCAAGAAAGGCTGAGAATATATTCTAAACAGAATTATAACCATTGATTAAAACACAGACTGATTACTTTCCTCCATATATATTGAACATTTTAATTTAATTAGTCAATATAATTTAAATAAGCTATATCTATCTATCTATCTATGTATATATATATATATATAGTACTTTTATAATAAATAATTTATAATATTTAAATTATTATAAATTATTTATTATAAAGCACTGACCGATCTAAGAAGTTAGAATAGCTATTCTCTAACCAATAAGTGCAAAAGTACAATAACATGAAATGCGAAGCTGCTCATTTGATAACAATCCGGTTACTGTATGTACTTTCCATTGCTCATTAATGCAATTATTTAAATCTATTCGTCTGAACAGAAAATATATGCGCTCAGCTTAAGTTATCCCCCAGCACCCTCAGTTCCTTTATACAAGCGATTCTCAACCGGTGGTACGCAAGAGAAAAACAGGTGGTACGCAAAGAAACAAAGTATTTTTAACTTTTAAATTCAAAAATCTCGTAAAGAAAAAGAACAAGTGATAGAAATTTTCTGTGATCGAACTCTAACTGAAGATTTCAAAAAACAACGCACTTGTTAACTTTTCGCGGAACCGAAAAAAAAAAAGAACTTAAAGGCATTTCAATTAAAGCTATTAAAATTTTATTCAATTTCTGCACAGCCTATTAGTGTAAACAAGGATATTTTTCCATGTTATATATGGAAAAATACAGAATAAAATTAAAAGTGGATCCTAATTTACGTTTAAAGATAAGTGAAATATGACCAGACATGAAAGAAACTGATCTCTCTTAAACAGGCCCCAATTTCACACTAAATTTTAGAATTAAAGTATCATAACTTAAAGTTCGATAATTAAATCGGTAACCAATTTTTAATCCAATATTTTTATGTGTGTATATTTATTACAAATAGCCAACAGTTTGTGAAAATTGCAAAATAATCATTCTAAAATATAGTGGTGGTATTAGTTTTTCAATTTTTGTTTAGATGGTTCACATTAGTCAAAAGGTTGAGAACCGCTGCTTTATACGTTTTGAATATTTATGCAGAATGTTTAGGTGTTTATAATTAGGTGTTGGTGTATTTAATTATGGCAAAGCACACGAGGGCTATCTGCCTAAAGGGAGGGATGCCTTTCGTGGAGGACTTTCTAAGGGAAACTGGCTCGTATACACGTTACACATGGGGAAAGCCACGTAAACGCCCATGCAGCCAGCCCGTTCGTGGGATTCGAACCTCAAACCGAACTACCAGTGTTCAGCGTCTTTACCGCTCGGCCGCTGGTGGGCCCGTTTATAATTAGGAATGAATATGTTATGTTTAGATGTTTATGAATATTTATGTTTAGATGAATGTTTATGGAAACCAAATCTCACAGTTACATTCAAAGGAGAGGTTCTGTTTCAAAGCAGAGGTTAAGTAAATTATTAATGCTTCAGCGTGTATTCGAATAATTTAATGACCTTTACCTGTCACACTTTTTATTAAATTTAATTCAAAATTTCAAAATTTTTCTTATTTATTTGGTTTTAAGGAGGATTTAAAAACTCAATATTAAATTCTTAATATATATTTCTTTTTCTATAGCAATCATTGTATTTTCAGTAATACGAGAAGCAATCTTCTTATCAAAGCACCCCCCCTCCAAAAAAATAGCAATGAAAGAAAATATTAATTTATTAGTTAGGAAGCGTGAACCAAGTGAAATGGAATTAGCATGACAGTTTGTACAAATCACATACATGATTTTTCAAGGTGATAATACTCAAATGAGTTATATACTAGTACTTTTCTCCCCGCTCAAATGCGCACATGCGTTCCAGACTGATATTTCACCGTTTACCCAGTAATCTGATAAAAAATATCATTCTAATTACTCTATCAAATTAAGCAAAATAATATTAACAATACCGGGTTCAGTATTTTATTTTCCTATGTTGCCTAAGATATTAGAGAGTTTTTATGAAATATTCCTTACTAGTTCTCTCTACGAAGGGAAAAAAAAAAGCATACTGCAAGCATACAACGTAGCCAATATAACGTTTTACCGTGCATACTCGCGTGTAAGTTGAAGTTTCATTTTGCCGTATAATTTACAAAATTTTATAATTCCGGACATATGAAAAAAAAAAACTGGCATCCTGAAATACCTATCGTGGAATGGCAAACAGCGAGAGTGACGTTTCAGTGTCAGAAAAACATAATTTAGCATGATATTATAAATTTTATATTTCGTTTGTTTTTACCAAATAATGTTCACTTATTACAAATATACTATGTTTTGAACTTGTTGTTCTTATGAAATTGCATTGGTAGTTTTACTAAGAACAACAGTTACCCACCTGAGTGGCTATAGCTGAAGTCATATATATATATATATATATATATATATATATATATATATATATATATATATATCAGTGTTGTAATTTATCAGATAATAACAAGAACTTTTGAATTTCGTAATGTTAAACAAGTGTTCTTAATTCAGTGCCAAACTAAGAAAATAGGAATTCTGAATCAAAATTTTAAATTTAGAGTCTAGAAACAACGAAATCTGAGTACACCGCCATTTTAAATATTGATCGGTTATTGCATTTAAAATAAATAGATCTAATTTTTCAGATACATTCGAGGAAATTTAGAAAAATTAATTCATCAACATTAATTAAACAACTTAGATTCGATTCCGATCATATACTAGTATGTATATTGTGTTGATATAGTGTACAGCAGTGTTTCTCAACCTCCGGTCCGCAATATTTTCCCGGTCCACGAAATATTCAGCTATCTGTTCAAAGTGTCATCGGCCGACAACCGATATTACAACAGCATCTACATTACAATAACAATAGTTTACTAGTTTAGAAAATAATATGATCGATAATGAAAAATATAACAAACTGGCAACCATGTACCTAATCGCCTTTCATAAATTGCCGTGCCGTACACTTAGTACACCAGTTAGTGTGCCCCTGTCTGCCTTGAGTTTGGCTGAATATCTATCGTAGTGTTTAAGGCGTCTTATGTTATATTTCGCTTTTTATCTTGCTACATTCTTGCTTGCACGCCTGGACAACTGAAAACTATACATCAGCATAAGTTTTAATAACCACTGAATTTAATACTGTGCTTTAACTACTATTTCTTTAACTTTAGATTAAAAATCAATAACCAGGATGAAAAGGAAACGAAAGGCACATTACAAAATTTCGTGCAAAGAAAGTATTCAAATTCTCCCTAACCATGTATGCCGTCCGCCCCTTCGAATACAGATGAAGGTGAATATAGTTCACAACCTGCCAAAAAAAAAAAAAAAAGAAAACCGTTTGTAAGACACTAAATCGCAGATTATTTGAAATACGGTTTTGTCCTTTGGCCACAATCAGAAGAAAATTGACCAAAATCTAAATGTGTTGTTTGTAAAGATGTTCTTTCCAACGAAAGCATGAAACCGTCCAAGCTTTCGCGGCATTTACAAACGAAGCACCAACAACTGGAAAGCAAACCTCTGGTCCTTTTCCAGAGAAAACGTTTGGAGATGAAAATTCAAAAGGATGCTTTTAAAAAAATGTTTCCCGGTTGATAAATCGTTTTTAAAAGCATCGTATTTAGTTACTCTGCGTCTCGCCAAATCTAAGAAACTATACTCAGTCGCTTAAGAACTTGTCATACCTTGTTTAATAGAGGTATATGATGAAGTGTTAGGCCAATCTGTTGCATATAAAATGAAAATTCTGACCAATGATACTATTGGACGAAGAAGAATATTTCGGTTATCATATGACGTAGAAAGTAAACTACTGCAAGATATTTGTAAATCGAAATGGTTTGCTGTTCAAATGAATGAGTTAATTGACGCCTCAAATAGTGCCTTATTATTATGTTATATTCATTATATTGACTATGCAATCAATGATATTAGAGAAGAACTGATGTGCTGTATCGAACTACCCTCCCAAACAACCTGTGCTGAAGTATTTAAGGCAGTTAACAATTATATTGAAAGTAACCCCGTTGACTGGAAAAAATGCATCGGTTTGTGTACTGATGACGCTTCTGCTACGACTAGAAGGCATATAGGTGTTGCAAAGAGAATAACAGACGTAGCATCATAAGAATAATAGTCACTCACTGCATTATTCATCGTGGACATTTAGCAGCAAAGAAATTGTCCTCACAACTAAATGACATTTTTCTGGAATCGGTAAAAATTGTAAATTTTATCAGAAGTGACGCCCTTAATTCAAGATTGCTTACAACTTTATGTCAAAAAATGGGATCGGATCATGTACAATTACTGTTGCACGCCGAAATACGCTGGCTATCCAGAGAAAAAGTCCTTAACCGGCTGTATGAGTTGAGAAATGAGGTACAACTGTTTTTAAATCAAAAGGGATCATTATTGAGCAGATATTTTCAGAACAACGAATGGGTAGCCTTGCTTTTAGACATATCAGACATATTTTCATTGATAAAAGAACTAAATTTAAGTTTTTCAAGGTAAAAATAATACCGTTTTCAACTTCTACAATAAGATGATGCTTTCAAAAAGAAATTGAAACTCTGGTACAAACGTGCGGAAGAAAACACTTTTGACATGTTTGCTCCTTTTGACTCCCTGTACTAAGTAAAAAGGAACTATTGTAATCGCGAAAGCTTCAGGCAGCATATTTCAACGAAAATATACACTTTGACCGCTTTCGAAAATGTTTTAACGATGTTTTTTGCGTAATATCTACGTAATGACAGAATAAAAGACTTTTTCCCCCAAAAAAAACTAAAAAAAAACTTTATAGAATTATGAAGAGAATTTTTCGCGGCGTCTGTACGAACGTACGTGTACGAACTATGTACGTACGTGCGTACGAACGTATGTACGTACGTGCGTACGTACGTATTCGATAACTCAAAAACGAGTAGCCTCAGAACGTTGAATTTTGTATATAAGACTACTAAACATGTAGATGTGCCCCCGTATTTTGGTTTCAATCGGCCGCG